AACCACTTTCAAGAATGGAACAGGATAATGGACCATTGAGGATAATTAAAAACCATTTGATTGTTGATACCCTCTCTTTCACTCTCTCTGTTTCATCGCTTTTTCTTTTTCTTTTTGTTTTCTTTTTTTTTTTTTTTTTTTTTTTTTTGCTGAACAATGTCATCATTCTATCCACCAGTGCTGGATGTGATTGATCATCGCGTTGAAGCAAGCCAAGTAAAAGTTCAATTCTCGGCCTACTTTTTCTGGCTAAAGTTGAGCAAAGGCCAAGATGGCGATTATGGTGGCAAGCTTATGAATTTTGTCGAAAATCAAGTTTTTCACTCGGACAAGGAGATGGCCAAGTTGCTCTCGTTGATCAAGGCGGCTTCTGTAGCCTCATTTTTCAAGGGCAAAGCACCAATGATCTCAAGAGCCATCAGCTTCTACATCCGGTCCTTCCCATTTTCCGTGGAGCAGCTGCGGGTCGTGTTGGCACTCTATGAAGCTGAGTATGCCGATCAAGCGTTCGTCCAGGCGTGGCGTGCCAGATTGGATCCGGATGGAGAACAACCTCTCCCCGGTGAGCTGCCGGTGTGGGTGCGCTACGTGGGCTGCACTACTCGCTCAGCGTCAGTGCGCGCAGAAGAAGACAGCAATCTTTTGGGCTCCAATCGATTGACGAATTTCATGAAAATCTTGAAAGTCGCCTTTGGTTCTCAGGCCCCAAAACCTGTGGTTTTTGACATCCCGCTCTTGGACGTTCCACTCTCGGAGACAATGAAGGCAGATAACACGGAGCAGTTTTTGATTCACTTGCTCGACCGCGATCTTCTCTTGAATGTTCAGCCTGGTGGCTCATTCCGCTCGTATCAACCTTTGGCCTCAGACCTGCTCTGCGTGTACAAGCTGAAATTGGATCTCAACACCAGCTACATGCCTCGTTCTGGTGACATTGACACGATCAAGGCAAAGATAAAGGCCGCGTTTTTGCAGCATGTCCCTGGTTTTGAAGATGAAAACAAACAAGATGTTCTTGAAATGAGCGTCAATCAGGCCGTTGGCGATTATGAAAATGGAGATCCTACCTCTTACCAACCGGTGATGATGATCGGCTCGGACATTACCAAGGAAATCATGGCGTCGGCATCGTTTTTCCTTGGCAATTGTCGTGCAGGACGCATCGTGAATGACTACTTGTCGGACATCAATCTCGAGACATACGAGACGGCTTCCCCCTATCCCATGGTTGATGTTTATCCCACATTGAATCATTCGGATGTCGATGAGCACATCAATGCTCTGGCAAAGATTGTTGAAGCTGCGCAACCCATGGTCCTGGCGACAATGGGCTTTTTACCAGCTGCCATATGTCACTCGGACTTTCATGGCGTGTAAGACAAAAAAAAAACAAAAAAGAGAGAGAGAGAAAGAGTACAATGCTAATTTTTTTTAACTTTTTTTTTTTTTTTTTTTTTTTTTTTTTTTTTTTTTTTTTTTTTTTGTAGACGCTCGCTTGGTCAAAAGGAGTACCGTGGCGCGCTGGGCCGCCCGAGAATCACCAACATTGACGCGGCTTTTGACATTTATTCTCCGCCGGAAGATTCGCCTCGTGATCTGTACTGCATCGTGGTGCCAAATGTCGACGCGGGCCTGGCCAATTATGGTGCAGGCAGCCCAAGCCTGATGCGCGCAATGTTCCTTATTTGGGTACGCGTCGCAATTGCGCACCATTGTACAATGGAAGCGCTGCGCGCCAAAGGTCACCCACCAATGCAATCCAAGGCACTCTGCGTGGACATTTTGACGCGATTGAATAAGATGGAGGCCAACATCAACCTGGGCATTATGATTGATGGTGCTCTCGATGAGTTTTATCTAGAGTACAAGACTAGCTGCACCGGTAAGAGTTCTGTCAAAAAAAAAAAACAGCATGGCTGATTTTTTTTTTTCGCAGATCAATACTTTGCCAAGGTGAAACGCGCGGCGGCCAAGATTCAAGCGTCATCGGAGACGGAAGCTCAAGCGCAGATCCGCAGCGACTATTTTTCGCAGCTGCTTGGCACACAAATTGATGACATTGGCAAGACTGTGGGCGCACCCAATTCTCCTGAACGCCTGTTGCAAGCCACTGTTTTGCGCCGTCGCAACCTTCCTATCTTGCGCAGCAATCCTCTGTATGACGACGAGCAGGGGTGGATTAAATGGATCATGGCCATGGCCGAGGACAAGGCCATTTTCCAGGCAAGTGCTCGCGCGGCCAAGGACAATCTGTATGAGCCCACCTCTGTCTTGTCGTCGTCCGACATGGCATTCCTCATCGAAAATTGTGCTCATTTGATTGGCGAGTCCAAGACCGATCTGTCGTGGGTGCATGACCCGGAGAAGGTTGCGTCCGGCTACGCCGCCAAGGCGCAGATTATGCGTGACGCCTGGAAAATCAAGAAACGCGCCTCGCCAAATTACACCACGTTCAAGGGGATCGACGCCAAGGACCTTTTCATCATGACGCCCATCCATGTCAGCAGCAACAAGGCCAACATGCGTGTCATGGTGGACGGCGTGGCGGAACGCGAAGAGCGCGGTGTCTACATCCCAGACGGCTTACCTGATGGCGACTATTTGCTTGATCTCGATGCAGAATTGTACGACCAATATCACGCTCTGATCGTCAAGGACAAAAATACGTTCAAGCCCGTGTTGCAAAAGGACGGTGTCACGCCAATCCATGTCACCGACACCAAGCTGCACCAAGAAGCCCATCAAACTTACTTTGTGGCGTTCAAGGCCACCGTCGCGGCGCTTAATCTGCAATTGCGCCCTGCCATGCTCGAGGATTTTTGGAATCAGGACAAGGTCCTTCGGCTTTTGTGGCAAAACAACGCTTCAGATGCCGATTTCACTTTCCACACGTCACGATTATCGCCTGCCCATGTCAACTTTTTCGAGCGATTGCGTGTCACCATTGAACCCATTCGGGACCAGTTGCAGCCGTCGGAACTCGCCCATTGGGAGCAATTGATCAAACCTCCAACGACCGAAGAGGAGACCGAAACCAGCACAAGGAATCTCAGGTAAAAAAAAAACACACACACACACACATACACAAGAAAGCATGTTCATGGGAATCCTTTTTGCTTGCTTCTGAATGTAGCCGCATCTCCAAACTCTTCAAGAAAATAACAAAGCACGCGCAAGCAGGCAGCTGGAGCACGAAAAGATGCTACGAGTACAGCGATTCCAGCAAATACTGGCACGTCCCAAAATACGAAGATCCGCCCTCGTTTTAATGTCATCCATCGTTTTCTTTTCTTATATTTTATCCACACACTTTTTTTTTTTTTATCCACACATTTTTTTTTATCCACACACTTTTTTTTTATCCACACACTTTTTTTTTATCCACACACTTTTTTTTTATCCACACACTTTTTTTTTTATCCACACACTTTTTGTTTTATCCACACACTTTTTTTTTATCCACACGCTTTCCAGTCTTTTATTCCTAGCCTTTTTGGCCTTCTTCCATATTCACCCTTGTCATGTTTAGCAAATTCTAGCACGTCCCAAGTATCGTTAACGAGCCGCACATGTCTCAATTTTTTTCATAATAAAGTGACACTTTGCACGATTTTTTGTTCGAATGAACCTCATGTCCATAGGCGAAAAGGCATAAAATGGAGTGAACGATGCACAATTGGTCTTGTTGCATAAAGAAGGAAAACGCGGTGTGCAGTGTGGCGATCGTCGTCGAGCATGCGACGGATAGATGTCCATTTGCGTCTAGCGGTACTAATGCGCTGATTGGTAATAGCATCCGCTGCCATTGTATAAATCCGGTCGTGAAACGGCGACGATGCGCCAATTGGCGCCTAACACCCTTCGCAATTTAGAAAATCTGGCCGCCAAGAGCCGTCGAGCGTTGGATTTCATCCACTTGCCGCCTCTAGCCCACCCTGGCGTCCGAGTTTTGTTGTTCAAACGCCCGTTTGTTGTTGATGCAACGTATTTTTTTCCCTTGCATAAAAAAAAAGGCAAATCCGACAAACACCGTCGAGTGCGTGATGGATGCATACCCATTTGCGTCGAATGGCACCGTTGCATCGATTTGCGCCAAGCATCCGCCGCTATTGTACAAATCCGACGGTCGTGCATCCGTCGATTAGTCGTCGATCCAGCAAAATGACGACGCATCGGATTCCGTTGATTTTGATCATTTACCCTGGTGGCGCGCGCAAAAAAAAAAAAAAAAAAAAAAAAAAAAAAAAAAAAAAAAGAAATTGGTACTTGTATGAGAAATTGGGTAAGGAGACGGCCCCCACAAGGATCAGGCAAACGAAAATCACCAAAAAAAAAAAAAAAGCATGATTCAAAACGATCGCTAAAAAGCGATTCTTTTTCGATCGTTTCGCCTTTTGCGATCAAATTCGCTTCAATTGCCACACAAGTGAGCTCATTCGACAGCCAGCAGCCCAACACACAATGATAGGGGGCTGTCTCGATAAAAAAACAAGCCATGGTGCTTCATTCGAGAATTGTAAAATTGACTGAACAATCTCCTCACACCTCAACCCAAAAGCCTCACAGCCGCCCAATCTGACTTTTTTGTACGCTCCACGCGCAGACAAAGCACGCTCCATCAAATGAAAGCTGCTGCGAGCCAAAAACAAAAAAAATCAACACTTGCAGAAGGGTTATCACATCCCGCTCGGATTTAGGGACATCTGAGACACTTGTGGCGCGTTTGGCTAGCGCGCACCTCGTGGACAGCGGCCATCAGCAACACTCTATCTTCATAGAAGCATCGTCCAACCCGACTTGTGCCGCAAAAAAATCGCAAAAATGCTTCAATGCTTCAATGCTTCAATGCTTCAATGCACATCTGGCCACACCCCAAGCTCCTTCAAAACTGCATCCGCTGCTGAGTGCTACAGTGTACAAGAGCCGACCAAAAAAAAAAAAAAAAGGCACATCTAACCAATTCAAAATGGAAAAATTACAAAAAAAGGACAAAAAAGAATCGCTCCTGGGTGGGCTCGAACCACCAACCTCTCGATAAACCGTCTGTTATGATGATTTAACAGTCGAACGCGCTAGCCAATTGCGCCACAAGAGCACAGATGTCCGTAAATTCAGACGGAATGTCATCACCCTTCTGCAAGTGTCAATTTGTATGACTGCGCATGCAAGCACAACACGCTCCATTAAATGAAAGCCACTGCGAGCCGAAACAAAACAAAATTGACACTTGCAGAAGGGTGATGACATTCCGTCCGAATTTACGGACATCTGTGCTCTTGTGGCGCAATTGGCTAGCGCGTTCGACTGTTAAATCATCATCACAGACGGTTTATCGAGAGGTTGGTGGTTCGAGCCCACCCAGGAGCGATTCTTTTTTGTCTTTTTTTGTAAGTTTTCCATTTTGAATTGGTTAGGTGTGCCTTTTTTTTTTTTTGGTCGGCTCTTGTACACTGTGGCCCTCAGCAGCGGGTGTTGCAGCAGGGTGTGCAGTTTTGAGGGAGCCTGGGGTGTGGCCAGATGTGCATTGAAGCATTGAAGCATTGAAGCATTTTTGCAGATTGGCCAGCAATTCGTGAAACGATAAATGGATGCCTGGAAAACATGATCGATGCAGCACTCTATTCTGTTCATTGGATGTCTGGCTGTCGAATGAGCCCGCTTGGGTGGCTATGGAAGCAACATTGATCGAGAAAAAGCGAAAACGACCGAAAAATAGAATCGCCTGTTTAGCCCTTGTGAAGCCCCAGCTTGAATCACATTTCATTTGCATTTTTTTTATTGCTTGACCCTTTCTCATTCGAATGGAACCGTTTTCATCGGCTTTGGGTCACCCTTTGGCGCGGCGAGCCGAATGAAAAGAATTGGATGTCGATTTTGAGCCCGGTTTTGAATGGCAAAGTGGCGGGGTTCATGTTTGCCAGCCAATGATCGTCTCTGGAGCCGATGGTTTGCCTTTGCTCCACCACCACTGTTGGTGCATACTGGGGGCATATCGGATGCAAATGCTGTAAAAAAAAAAAAAAAAAAAAAAAAATACAGTACGCTATTTTTATAAATATTCTACGTTTGGCGGTGCTTCCGCATGATTTTCACGCATTTTCATGTCATTTGTGAGTTGGATGGTATGAGGATGCAGGAGTCTCAGATGAAATCCACACAATCGAGTGCCAAGTCCAGCATTTTACGCAAAACACGGCATTCAAAACTAATTTCAATTAGAAAAAGCTGCTGCCTCCTTGCTCTTTGCTAGAAATGCCATTTTATGCTTGGTGGTGCGTCACAGTGGCCGTCTCCTGGGTGGCAGGCCCCAATTTGCGGGCCCCTATGATACTGTAACAAAAAAAAAAGAAGTAAGAGGCGCGCTTTCTCGTGCATGCCAGACCGTCAAGTCACAAAATTCAATGGTACGTCATCTTTTGTCACCCTGAATGATGACTACACCGTATTTGAGTCTCTAGACTCGCGGTGTGCCTGTAAAAAAAGGGTCAAGACGAATGAACCTGCACCTTCCTTAGAAGGCAAGTCTGGAGTAGACGTGGACGGACGCGGGAGGAGGGCAAGCATTGAAAAATGATTTTTTTACGATTCAATCACGATTTTCTCGGCAGCCGTCTGATTTAGCGCCAGCATTGCACTGAACCCGACAATGAGCAGCACAATACCTCTATAAAAACCAGTCCAGCATCGCTCAGCTGTTCCTCAGGGTCGTTGCAAGCATCACATAAAAGGTTTGGACACGTACTTGGACAGAAGTTGTACCGGTATGCCGCAGCGCTTTTTTTTTCAACCAGATCGGTTTGGCTCTCGAATGATGTTGCTCTTCTTCTGGAGCATCAATCTCTAGATGACCCTCTGGTTGATTTCAAAAATCCAAAAAAGGCATCACAGCAGCATTGTGTTGTGTCCTTTTTAATTTTTTTTTCATCGTGACGAGACTGCCCGGATATCCTGGCCATTGTGGAGAAAAAACGAATGAAAAACACGCTCCTCGCTCTTCGGTCACCCGAAACGCGATCGTGCGGTCTGAAACCGGCGGCTCTCGCGCCATTTTGAGCGTGCGCATCTCAGGGTGCCCGTGATCTTTTGAAACACACGCTTGTGCGTGAATTATTAAGATTGCATCAAAATCCAGAAACGACGCCTCAACCTGTTGCTGCCATCGAGGCAGCGGGTCACACGTGAAGCATTGCGCGATCCACCCCGAGAAATCGTCAAGTTTCCGGCGCTGGCGCATCTTGTCGAATCCTGAGCATTTCTAGCCCATTGAAGCCCAATTTCTCGAAATTCAAAAGGTAAGAATCTCGTGGAATTCGGCTCATCAGAGTGTGCACAGCCCGCATGCACCTATCCCAACCATGTTTGAGGATAGTCAGTGTCTGCCACGTTGGCACGTAAACGTCGAAAATCGGATGGCGTCGACCTCCTTTTCGTCTCTGCTTTTTTTTTTCACGGTGCAAATCGTACTTCCGGTGGATCATTGCCAATCCTAGCGCGACAATTTCTCTCTCTCTCTCTTTTTTTTTTTCCTAATGCATGACTTGATTTGGACCAGCTTGTTCGCTCCATGCTTCATGTCTCAAGGCGTCCCCTTGAATTTTCAATAGACGGCATTGGCAATTGGGCAGCACACAACCCGTGACAGCCCGGTCTGTGCCTTTTTTTTATACCAAACATGCCATTGGTTCGGCTAAACGGCCGCCGAATTGCCGAAGAAAACGCATTTCTTTGACGGCGCCATAAAACTTTCATGTTACGGCCATACGATTCTGAAAGCGCCAGATCCCGTCCGATCTCTGCAGCGATCCAGAATACGGCCTGGTTAGTACTGCGGTGAGAGATCACGCGGGAATACCAGGTGCTGTAATGCGTTTTTTTTGCATCCTGTCGCGATGCAATCGAAAAAGTAGTGATTGTTTTCCTTTTTTTTTTTTTGGGTTTTAGCTAGGTTTGTGTTGTGCCATGCTATTTTTTTTTCCCTCGAGTCTAAGCCCGGAACAGCGGCGCGCGTACTTGTTCAAACCCCTTAACGCGACCTTGCTGCAATCAACGCGTCCTCGGAACACAAGGAGGCGCAGCAAAACCAAACACGGGGCGCAGCAAAACCAAATACAGGGCGCAACTGGCGTTTAAGTTTAAACGCCGTGCAAACAATTGCCCATTTTTTTTTCCCTTCTTTTTTCTTTTCTTTTTCTCACATACTTTTGAAGATGCTTCGCAGAAGTACAAGGCTGCAAGGAATTGTCAAAAAATATTACAAAATCCGGCAACCTAACCGCAAAACCGCTGTTCGCAGCATAACGCAAGTAAAAACAGTGGTTGTATCCTCCATAAATCGAAAATACAATATCGATGACGCTTGGCAATATCTCAAAAACAAAGACACGGCCTTGGCAGCATTCATGGATGAAGATGCACTCTGTGATTTCAAGCAGCATCTGGCGTCTTCCAATGGAAACAATCCATTCAAGTTTGTGGTCATCAGCTTGCTTCTTTGCAATTCGTGTAACTCATTTTCTTTTTCTTTTTCGCATGCAGGTCTCTAACGACAGACATCATGTATCAGCAAATTCATGGCAAGGCTGCTCAATCAATCAGGGACAGATTTTTGCGACTATTTGATTCCCCTGTTCCATTCCCTGACAGCGTGATACCATCTTCTTTCCCTTGGTTTCCAACACCGGCAATGGTGCTTACCAAGTCCATAGTGGACCTTCGTGCTGCAGGATTGTCTCAGCGCAAAGCTGAATATATTCGTGATTTGGCCTCCAAATTTGATGACAATACAATTACAGATGCAAAGTTGGAAACATTGAGTGACGAAGAGATTTCAAAGTTGCTTTGCTCTGTCAGGGGCATTGGCCAGGTTGGTTGATCGATATCGTCCGTTTGATTCAAACTTACTCATCAATTTCTTACTAGTGGACTGTTGACATGTACACAAGGCAAACCTGTAATTCAAAAGGTCGCTCACTTTATTTTTTTTAGGTTCTTGATGTTCAATTTGTGTCATCCAGATGTGCTGCCAGTGGGTGACCTCGGTAAACAAAGACAGATTTTCAGCGTGATTGATGATCTCACTGCCAGTATCCCAAATACAGGTGTACGACGCGGCGTTTCGGTGCATTTTAAGCACTCAAAGGGCAAAAGCAGCGCCAAAAAGAAAAAACATGACGATTTACCATCCCCAAAGGACATGCAAGAGCTGACTGAGATCTGGAGCGTAAGTGATGGCATATGTGTCACATTTCAGCCTGATTTCCCTTCAAATTGTTTCTAGCCGTATCGCACGATAGGATCTTGGATGATGTGGCGAGTTTTGGACGTCAAAACAGTTGCAGAATAATCAAAAAATTCCTTTTTTTTTTTTTTGCTGGCAATTGCCCAAATCCAACTGGAATTGATTGATTCATTTACAGTACTTGAAGAATTATTTATTTTGAAATAAAAAATAAATGACGCGAGCCATTTCGCGTCAGTGTATCCATTAAAAGCACGTGCCACGTGTCCAATCAGCCAGCAGAGGGGAAAATCGCAAATGAGAGATTCCTGGTTAGGCCCGCCAATTGCATGGCATCGTGTCCTTTGGCGCTTTTTTTGCCTGCCATTGCTCATCCCTGGCGGGCACAACTGATATCGGCGTTGACGATAGTCAATGGACAGACAAGCGAAAGCAAAAAAATGACAAAACGAGACCAAGAGAAAGATCGAAACCAACAGATTTTCAATTTTTACGCGTAAATGTTGCACTATTGTGAGAGGACACCAAATTTGTTTGTACTAAATGAAAGAAGACGAAGCAGGCTTTCATTTGATCCCTCTTGCGAGTCTATACAGATACAATTGAGAGAACAGTGGCCTGTTTGAATTTGGCGTGCACTCGCGCCCGCACGACAGATTTTTGGAAAAAAAATCTCAGATCTGCACCAAACTTGGAGACAAGGAGGGCGCCACCGAGCATTACACAATGAGACAGATTTCAGGGGGATGTCGATAAAATGGCATTTTAGAGTGAAATAGAGCTACTTTTCAAATGCTCATCCTTGGACGACGAATCGCGCTAGAGCCGATCAGTCGACATGCCCTCGCAGAGAATCC